AATTAGTTTAATACTCTTAAAAACTTCTTCAAAAAAACCAGGTTTCGCATTTACTGTTGAGGTCCAATTAGCAATTGAAGATGGATTAGGAAGAGTTAGAATAGTACTAAAAATTATACATAAATAATTATAATAAAACCATAATTGTATGCTTCTGGAAGATTATAAATATAGAAGTTATTAAAGACTTGTGTGGTTGCCATTTATAGTATTCACTGCAGGACATAAGAATCAGCTGCTTAAAGTAAGCAAAATACTATCGGACAAATGTGATCACTATAAGCGTTGGCCACTGTATACTTTAATAAAAATGGTCATTCAAATTACTAGAAAAGCATAAATTACCGGCAGAAGTTATAAGCTTTTGGTGAATAGTAATGTAATGTTAAGGCAAACTCTTTCATTTCTTTTGTATAGCGACAACCTGTACCTTTTTTACTGTTTTTTAATTCATTTTTAAATAGGTCCAATATAGTGCCTAATGAGAAAGCATAAGATATAAGCCATTCATTAATATTAAATGTGCAAATGCCTGCAAATAAGTGCTTAGAAGCAGAAAAAGCAAGCAAAATTTAACAAACAAAAAATATAACAAAATTTTAAACATTGATATTTACCGCTGAAACTATTTTCTATTATATTTACTGGTTCACCATCGATTAAGCCTCTACTTTTCAAATCGTTTAATAATTCTTTCAGGTTATATATTTTTTTATTTTTTCTTCTTAACTGTTGCTGTAAAGTTCTTATTTTTTTTCAATAAAAGTTCACTGGTATAACTATTAACTGTTTGAACTTCCTTATTATTAGTAGTAGGAACTATTTTATTAAAGGTTTCAACTTTATCATCTTCTAATTGAATGTCATCAGAAGTTCCAATTTCGTCAGAAGTTCCAATGTCATCAGAAGTTCCAATTTCGTCAGAAGTTCCAATGTCATCAGAAGTTCCAATTTCGTCAGAAGTTCCAATTTCGTCAGAAGTTCCAATTTCGTCATCAACTAATGGAATGTCATTTTCTGCTAGATTTGAATTAAATATATTTTTTTATTGTCWTTAGATATAAATTAAATTAAGTTGTAATTTATGTAGTTTAATTTAATTTAATAAGTACCTGCGGCATTTAAATTTGAATTTTCAATTTGAATGAGATTTCTTACAAGCGGTTCTTTTCTTGGAACTTTGGACGCCTTTTGGTAATAAGAAGGAAATGCAGAGAACACTGTCGGTACAGCATCTTCTTTTAAAAGTATGTTATTATTATTACCCAGTTTTACTTGATAATTTTCATTGAYAAAATGATCACTACATATACGGCTCCATTTCGTTGGTGTAAAATTCTTTCTTTTAATAGCTGCAATCCATTTTTTATTTAGATCAACATTGGCTAAAGGAAATCTATAATATTCAAAATATCTGTATTAAAATAATTATTCTCAGATGCACAAACTATGTATACCTACATGACGTAACTAATCATAGATAAACTTACCGAAAAAAATGAATATTCTGACCAATTTTATATCTATTTGTACATCCATACGCAACACATGACACTGGCATGATTATATTTAAAATACGAAACACAAAATGTAAAATAATATAATCATTATTGTCAAAAAAATGTCAAATAAATAAATTCAAACACGCATAAAACCATATTATTATAGGTGTAAATGTGTAATCGTAATGCGAATTCAWAATGTTTTGCCAACCACGAAATTTGTGATAACGGATTATTACTATTCGTTAGGCTTCATACGATAACGCGAGTACCTTATCTAGTATAATATAGATATCTGTGGAGAAAAGCGTGATTTTATCAATATTATAGCTATTATCAATTATAATCACAAGGAGATTCTAAATATTATAAAATAAAAACATGGTTTTTGATAAAGTTGGAGATAAGTGTTGTTTACATGTAGGTAACGATATACAGTTGATATAACTTAGCGTTTCGTAGTTGATTTAACTCTTTGAGGCATGAGATTTTAATAAATGAAAAAACCCGTCTTGCACACAAACTTAGTTTTTTATTTTTTTCAAACTTTTTTTACTACATAATACTATTTGTTGCTTATCCATAAATGTTCAAAATTTAAAAATTTAAAAAAAATTATTTTTTTATTTATAAAAAATAGGTGGGTTAAAAAATGTCCCGCTATGCAGCATCAGCAATATTTTTGTTTATTCTTTTTGCGCTGAAATAAATCAAAAAATGTATCAACATTTTTAATATTTTATTTTAATTAACAAATATTTTAAAAACTTACATTTTAACATGATTGGTAATTATTGAAACAATTTCTTGACATAGAGATGCAAAGTGGTACATCGCATATGGTGCATTTCCAATCTGTGCGAACTTCTTTTTCTTTAGTGCTGCAGTGAGCGCATCTCCTTCTTGTTGTCCGTTCTGGCTGATGTGCTGATTGATCCTTGCGAACGGATGGCGATACAGATGCTCTTTTTATGGAAATAGGCGATGGTGATCCGGAACCTTTCTGTCGACGTTTTTGAACAAATGTTTTTGAAACGAGGCTTTTTGAGATCTCACGTCGAATTTTAATGTAATTTTTTTTCCTGTTATTTTTGTATATATAATATGAGAATTCACAATAGCTGCATCAAAAAAAAAAGAAAAATATGCGATGCCACCACTTATGACTTTTTCGATCTATGTGATACATTTTTTTATACTGATCAAATTTATCGACGCAGTTCATATTCATATTATATTTCTTGAGTACAGTGGGACAAGGAATCATTGATGTGGTTCCATCTTTAGATTTTCTTTTGACCTCAACGACATCAGTAGGATTATGATAGTTGGATAGCAAAGTAACTCCTCGTTTGTCTTTCCATTTGACAATTGAAATTTGATACTGGTCACTCATGTTCCAGTCAATGTCACCCATAACAATTTTTTTATCAGACTCTAATTTTGGCAAGTATTTTCTAGTACTATTAACAGTTCCACAGCAAAAAATACCTTTTGATTTCAGATATGCCAAAAGTGGTACACTTGTGAAAAAATTATCAATGTATAAGTTATGATTTTGATGCTGTAATGGTTTTGTTAGATCTTTGACGACTCGTCCTCCAAGATTTGCTTCGACAGAGTCGCCTCTTTTACCAGTGTATAAATCGAAATTCCAAAGATACCCATGTTTATCAGCTAACGACCATACCTTATAGCCTCTTTTAATTGGTTTTTTAGGCATGTATTGCTTTAGAGTTGATCTCCCTTTGAACTTAATCATAGATTCGTCAACTGCAATAATTTTATGTGGGAGGTAATATTTTTGAAAATTGTCTTTAATTTTTTTTAAAAAAAGGTTGAACTTTGTACAATTTATCGTAATCCGTTTCACCCCTTTTTGCCACAACCGAGTTTTCATTTAAGTGTAAAGATGAGAGTAGCCAACCAAAACGATTTACAGTCATAAGAGAACTTATATAATCATCATGTAAATCCAAACTTGTAGACCAGTAATCTCTATAGCTTGGATCACGTTTTATTCCCATTAAAATATTCATACCAAGGAAAGTCATTATTTCATTTGTATCTGTAGGAATATAGCTTTTTCCAGTTTTCATTTTTATTTGGTATGCATACAAATTTGTTTGGTTTACTATTAAGTCCAGTATATCATTTGAAAATAATAATTGAAAAATTGAAAATGGAGTGTGTTCAGCTTCAATATCAATCAAACTAGTTGGGCCGTCAGCGCACGTAAAATCAGGGAGAGGTACTTGTGAAAAATCATTATTTTTTGACCAAGTTGGAATAGTAAGTTCAAAACTATTAGTTGATGTTTCATTTTCATAAGTATGAATCAATGTATTTTCGGGTTGATTAGTTTCGACGATATTGTTTTCAAATTCAGTAGTTTCTGTTGATTGATAATATTGTTTCTGATTGATTGGCGGAAATGAGGGGCGACAAATATTACTATTAGTATGGTCATTTTTTAAATGTGTTTGCCTTTTCGAATGACGTGTTTTTATAGGACTAGGTAATAGTAAAACGTTACCTTCATCTAGATTTAAAATCTCTACCAGTTCGTCGTCATTTTGATCCATTGTATCATCAGATAAATGGTTGACTTCCATTTTCTTCAACATCTTTATTAGGTAAATAAGTTTCATCAGCTTCAGAATCATCGTAAGAAGTAAAAGTGTCACTATCGGATGGTATCTTCGAACAAACACTCGACAATATTTTTTTCATTCATACGCGCGCTCATTGTATGAAATTGACCGTACGGCACAGCGGGTTAAAATTTAAACACAGACATATTATTTCGTCATGGCTAAAATAATGTAATTTAATGGATTTGAATCAGTTTATATGAAACTTAAAATGTTTCTACGTAATATTTCACGAGCAAGAACTCTAATTGTGGTACAAAACTAAAATTATATTATTGTGAAGTACGTAAACGCATTTGCTCGCGGTACGAAGGTCACCGGATCACTAAATTGGTAATTTCCATGACAAAATAAATAGGTATGTCAGCAACTCAGTGATACGCACAAAATGGCGTACGTCGTTCGCTTATTATCAATTATTATTTATTATTGTATCAGTACGAAAGTATCGTACTATTGCTATTACGTTATCACAATATCGCATATTATGATTTATGAATTATGAATTWAAAAAAAAAAATTAACAAGTTTAGTGTAAATTATTTTCAATTTATTTGGTAAATTTTTTAATTTTTAATTTTGACGTTTTTGTATACTGCTTATGAAGAATATCTTTGTTTAAATTATTTATTCTTAT